CGTTTAATGTGGTCTTTGAGTGTTGTGCTCGCCTGTCCAATGGGACCCCCACCACCACCGCCGTAGACTTCACCAGGGGTGTTTTTCTCTGCGCTCTAGCCTCTTGCCGTCAGGGACGCAGAGAAAGTTCAAGTAGTCACGTAACCCCGTCAGTTGGTCGGTTGTCGGTTAAGACAACGCACGTCGCTGATTTAATTCGTAGGCATGCTAGAACATACGGGTTGAAGCGCTACAACATGCATTTTCCGCTCCGCGCTCTTCCTTTTGTAAAGTTTCAGATATACTTCCAATTACTCTGACACTATGAAAATTCAGATGCACGTCAAAAGAAAAACAGATAAGCATTTCATAAGAAGGAGGCGGCGCTCAGGGCAAGCTAGTGAAGAAGCATTGCAAGAGGTGCAATAGGTTGATAAAAACAGGCAGAGCAGGACGGGGAACTCTGTTCCGCGCGTGCCTCGAAACTAGATCACCCCGCCCACTCCGTGTGCGGGGCAGTCCACTGCGACCTCGTGATTATGTTACGGTACCATTCAGTGTCGGTGGAGCGAATGATTCGCACTAGTCCAAGTTATCTTCTCTCTAAGCTGACTGCAGTGGACCAAGCGTCAATCGTATGCCTACTGACAACTGCGACATCTGTCAAAGATCGCCAGCTGACGCGCCGCGTGCGAGGACTGCGGCGTGACCTAGTTTCGATGGACGCGCTGAACGATGTGCACCTGGCTGATAGGGCGCTTCATACTAGGTGCTGCGGGCAGCACCTGGGCACCTGGTATGGATGCGCCCATACTTCACTCCGAAATATGTCAATCAGTGCTTTTTTGACTTCCCTGCACCCTCTTGGGTAGACATATTTCTTCAAAAATCAGAGCGCGGAGGGATGAGCTTTCTAACCATCACTGCTGCTGCAGTACTCACGCAGTGGGTGCTTCAGTGCTCAACAACGTGCCGACCGACCAAACGCTTGGCTGGCCACGCGTTGGCAACTCAGGACAAATTGTGTTTATTGCCGCGAGAGCGGGGGCGTTATCGAACCCACCTTGTTCTACGTGGTCAACACGTGACCAGCAACGCCGTCGAACGGTCGGTCGGCACGCCATTAATTTCTGAAAGCCCCCAAACGTGTGCGCTGATGGTCCTAAAATATAAAAATGAGCATCAAAGCTGGACGTGGTGAAGTATAGAAGGATATCGTTGAAAAATGTGAGGGTTTTGATGAAACCAAGTATGGGTTTGAGAACAAAAATCAGCTTCCATGTGTGCCATCACCTCTGTTGCCTTCATAATGCGGCCAGTAGTCCATTCTGCGTCGTTATTATACAACCACCTACACCACTCTTTCGGGTATAAGAGACCAAAGTGCCCTCACTGGATGCCCTTCGTTGCGCGCGTCTGTTGGACTAGGTCGCGGCAGTCGCACGCACGCACGCGGCGCATAGGTCCGCGATTTTTGACAGATGTCGCAGTTGTCAGTGAAGTATACGATTTGCGCTTGGTTCATGGTAGTCAGCTTATAGAAAAGACAGCACAGTCTAGCGCAAATCGTTCGCTCCACTGACATTTAAAGGTATTGTAATGTTATCTAGAGCTCTCAGTGGGGGCGAAGCGTGCGAAATTGTCGGGTTAACCTAGTTTAGGACGCACGGAACGGACCCTTCCGGGGGACGTACGATTCGTGCGATTCTGGGTGCGCGCGGCAAATTGTGCGGCGAAATTCATAGCTATTCTGACGACTTTAGCGCCTATTTTTGGGGCCCAATTTTGAAGTAGAGTAGATTCTGTTTTACTCCAAGTTTGTACCCCAATAATAGGCGCCAGGGTCGTTCGAATCGTCATGAATTTCGCCGCGCAATTTGCCG